TGAGCCCTCTAGGTCGTATAAATCAATCGATATACTTATCGGATATGCACAAACAAGCTTAGCTAACAAGCTGAGATTCCACAGATTCTAGAAATATAAGTATCATCACTGAGCGATCAGAACTCGCGACAGGGGAAGCAAATACAGACATCACACGACGAAGCTTTAGGTAGCAAAACACGGAGATACGCTCACCTTTTGCTGTTATTCTGATCAAAACGAGAAAAACGCGGCTGAAGGTTAATCCATAGGTTAATCCAATGTGTCTGTCATTTTGAAAAAATTATTGATAATCCATAATTCCATTTTTATGTCAAAAACGGAGTTGTCACATTAGCTGCTAATGACAGCTTCCAGAGTGTATGACAGCTTCCTGTTTTGTCTCCTTGGATACGAGTCCAAACAACTCACAGACTGCACCGGGCGCTGGCGCCCTGTGACCATGAGATTTGACGACGCTGATTGACTGAAATTATGTTTCGGCGGCATAGTTTAAAGATAGCAACAGTTGGCTTCTGCAGCACTTGCTGCACTCTCGCCTGGGCGCTGTGCATAGCGCCCAGACGAGAGAGGGTAAAGATACACGGGCAAGGCCAGGCAGGAAACATGTGACTTATCAGTAACTTTAGACATCGTAACACAATTTCAAACGAGATTTTATTGTAGATTATACATTTTACTGATACCAATTATATAATTATATAACCAATTATATAATCTCCCCAATCTGATCAATGATGACATGTATAGCCGCATGTCATCATTTCAGCGCTGGTTGTCTTGGTGGTGCCCAGCAAACAATGTGGGCTTCGTAAATAATTGGACAGCCTTCTGGGGAAAACCTGGTCTGATTAAGAGAGACGGCATTCATCCTACTTTGGAAGGTGCAGATCTCATTTCAGCAAACATTTCAGGGCTTTGTGGACTTAATCCATGACAAACTGGAGTTGAGACCAGGAGGCGGAGTCGCAGTCTTACACGCTTCTCTGCGCTCTCTCCTAGGCAGTCATCCATAGGAATCCAGAACCCAATAAAATACCCAATATTAACGGTGTGTGTGTCTGCCCAAGGACAATTTAAGGTAAAACCTAATAGAGGTGTCATACATTATAACCTAATAAAAGTAAATGTAACAACTACTACAGTGCAACAAAACAGGAAGATTAAATGTGGTCTCTTAAACATAAGATCTCTAGCATCTAAAGCAATATTGATAAATGATTTAATATCAGATTATAATATTGATATATGCTGTCTCACTGAAACTTGGTTGAGACATGAAGAATATGTCAGCATAAATGAGGCCACTCCACCCAGCCATATCAATACTCATATTGCCCGAGGCACGGGCCGAGGAGGTGGAGTTGCAGCAATCTTTGACTCAAGTTTACTTATCAATACTAAACCAAAATTAAATTATACTTCCTTTGAAAGCCTCGTTTTTAGTCTTACGCGTCCGACCTGGAAAACTTTGCAGCCAATCTTATTTGTTACAGTGTACCGTGCACCAGGTCCTTATTCAGAATTCTTATCAGAATTCTCTGAGTTTTTATCAACTTTGGTACTTAAAACAGATAAAGTAATTATCGTAGGTGACTTTAATATTCATGTTGACGATGATAAAAATAGCCTTACTGTTGCATTTAACTCTATATTAGATTCTGTTTGTTTCTGTCAGAGTGTAAATAAACCAACCCACTGCTATAACCACACTCTCGACCTTGTTCTGACTTATGGTATTGAAATTGAGCAACTATTAGTCGAACCGCATAATCCTGCTTTATTCGACCATTTCTTAGTAATTTTTGAAGCACTGTTACTAGACTACAAAGCATTAGTCAAAAGCTCCTGCAGCAGAAACCTATCTGTTAGTGCTATAGCCAAATTTAAGGAAGAGATTCCACCAATACTTAACTCGATAGCATGTCTGCATGTAAGGGAGGAAACTTATACAAAATGTACACCACCCCAAATTGATCATGTTGTTGATAGTGCTACAGATGCGCTGCGAATAAAATTAGACTCTGTTGCTCCTTTGAAAAAGAAGAAAATAAAACAACATAGATTAGCTCCATGGCATAATGCCGAAACCCGCAAAATAAAGCAAAAGTCGAGACAACTTGAAAGGATATGGCGTTCCACTAAACTTGAAGAATCTCGTTTAATTTGGCATATTACTCTCAATGAATATAAGAAAGCACTGCGTAAAGCGAGAGCAGCCTACTACTCTTCATTAATAGATGAGAATAAGAATAATGCAAGATTTCCTTTCAGCACGATTGAGCCTTCTATTCCCATAGCACTCAGTAGTAATGATTTGATGTGCTTTTTTAACGATAAAATTGTTACTCTTAGAAACAAAATTAATGACCTCTTGCCTTTGACCAGTATAGTGTTATCAACAGCTCCCGGAAACGTAAGTTCTAATATTACACTAGGTAGTAAACTAGAATGCTTTTCAGCCATTAACCTTGAACAATTAAATTCAATGATTCTCTCTTCTAAACCATCAACGTGTATGTTAGACCCAATTCCAACTAAGCTGTTGAAGGAAGTTTTTCCATTAATTAGCACTTCTTTATTAAATATTATGAATATGTCTTTATTATCAGGCTGTGTTCCACAATCATTCAAAGTAGCAGTGATAAAACCGCTTCTTAAAAAGCACAACCTCGATCCAGAGGTTTTAGCCAACTATAGACCTATTTCTAATCTTCCGTTCCTCTCAAAAATTCTTGAGAAAGCGGTCGCAAAACAGTTGTGTGATTACTTAAAAAACAATGATTTATTTGAAGATTTTCAGTCTGGCTTTAGAACACATCATAGCACAGAGACAGCTCTGGTTAAAGTCACAAATGACATTCTAATAGCCTCAGACAAGGGACTTGTCTCTATTCTTGTTTTGCTCGATCTCAGTGCTGCATTTGATATACTATCGACCATGAAATCATATTGCAAAGACTAGACTAGCACTTAGTTGGCATACAGGGAACTGCTTTAGGCTGGTTTAGGTCCTATCTATCTGAACGCTCTCAGTTTTCTCAACTTTTCAACTCTTTTGTGAGGGATCCACTCTGAGAAAAAACATGCAATAAATCATAATGTAACAAAGCAGAAAACTAGTGCCAACCTGAAACTTACTACACACACACACACACACACACACACACACACACACACACACACACACACACACACACACACACACACACACACACACACACACACACACACACACACACACACACAAACACACACACACACAGAGAGATACCAGTGCACACCCATCTGAGACAAATCCTTTCGCCATGCACATAGAATTTGCAATAATGAACAATAACAGAGTAAAAAAGTTGATTTCAATGATGATCTAATTAAAAGGGACAAAGTGTTTGTATCAACTATGTATGTATTTATGTATGTATGTTTACATGCATGTAGAGAGTAAATTATTTATATAAAAAAAACAGTAAATCAAGAAATGTAATAAAAGGAGTGTCTTTGCATGTCTTGGCATGTCGCCCTTTGACCATCATTTGGTCCCAACAAAAGCAGAAATGAGATTCATCCATGCAGCTCACTGAAATGTCTACACAAACAGCAAAACTGAGCCCAATTATCACAAAAACATTAAATTCATGAATGACCCTCAGTGTATTAAAGGTTTAGAATTGATATATATTGTATGTATGAATTAAGAGCTTGTAATACCCATAGACTGTATGTAATACCAGAGAGCAAAGTGAAAGTGAGTTTTGACAATGTGCAGCATTGACACTTCCCAATAACCTCAAACTCTGCAACCACTGAGCTATTCTGAAGTTTCAAACTGTCCACTGAAAGTCCCAAACCACGTCTTGATCAAAACTGGACACAAACCCGCTCTTACAACATACAGATACAACATCTCTTAGTTTGCATTGCTATCTTTAATTGAATTTGTGAATTCTCCAGTTTCCATTGAGTAATCCAATAGACAGAGGGGAAGTTACATGTCAAAAATAGTAGGTTTGGGGATTTATAGTAAATTGAATATTCTGATTACAAAACGTCTCACTGTGGAGCAAAGCACTTTCTAACATGTTGCAATGATGAATTTAATGGCAAACAGTTAGCAAGTCATTCTTATTTGAAAGAAAGGAATAAACCTGTGAAAACACATGATGGACTTCTTGCCTTTCCTTCTGTTTGAACTGATAACAAGAAGAATGTGTGAGTAATCAACCAACTCATGAATGGAAAAATCGAGTATCATGACTAATATTGGAACAGGAACATAATGGTGAAGAAACAATTAGAAAACCACTGATTACACGAGACACAACATGTGCACCTATTAAACTTGTAAATGGTGACAAATTCAATACGCAGGCTCAAGACTGGAATATACTGTAAATTGGCACAGTGTGAGAGATAGTGATCATTTCAGGAAGTATTGTGACATCATAAAAATTATCATAACATCATTCAAGGGGAGAAAATTGTGTGTAAATAGATATAGGCAGTTTATATCTGGGTTATTAAAACTAAAAATCTACAGAAAAATGGACTACTCGTCACTGGGTATTTACTTTATTTTGAATTCACCACCAACATTTCTTTGGGAATACTGCTATGCAAATGCATGGTTTTAAGTGGATTTTCCCTTTTAATTATGTGTCATAGGGATTGTTTTGCTCGTCAACAACGATTGTGTGTTTGAAAAGTACTTTACTGTTATTTGAAAAAAAAAAAATACTACAGTTTATCTTTTACCCTAGCGCGAAAAGGTTAAAGCAGCTTGTGTAACTTATTTAAATTCCTGCTCCCGCTGGTCACTTCCATGTGGACCATCTTCACCAAATTCACCATCAACCGGACTGATGCCAGACCGGATGCTTGACGCAAACTATTAATTCCATGCCTGGTGCATGATTATTGGGAAATCCCTCAAGCAGAATATAAAATGACAGCCCATCGCAAAGCCAAGACAACTTCTCCTGGACCTGGCAGCCCTCAGCATCAGTGGAAACTCAACAAGTGCTTCCCGGCAGCTCAACATGTCTCTTCCACTCAGTAAGTTGTGAGCAACCTGTGTGGTGCGCACAGTTTCTGCGTATTTTCTCCTTTAATTCATTTCGATTTCTTCTCCGCAGACGCGTTCTGGCTCTCTGCGGTGATGCTGTGCGCCCTGCTGCTGTGCGCCCTCGGAGCTCCGGTGGAAGACGCTCCCACCGACAGCCCGGCGGCCGGTGACCCCTCCGGTGAGGAGGAGGAGGAGGAGGGGCCCTCTAACCTCCTGAGCACCTCCGGGGTCTGGGATCTGATTCTTGGTGCAACCAGACGTCACCAAAAGGAGGTAAAAAGCTTCCAGGAAATTCACTAAGATGTGCTATTGTCTGTGAGACTCACTTCATCAAGTTTCACTGGGTCATTTTCAGAGGTGGGAGAAGTATTCAGATATTGCGTTTAAGTAATAGTATAATTTAGGAAAACTCTACAAGTAAAAGTCCATTCAAAATGTAACTCAAGAAGAAGTAGAAAAGTATTGGAATCAAATAAAGTAGGCCTACATAAAGTAGAAGCACTCATTATGCAGATTGGTCCATTTCAGAATAATATATATTTTGATTATAATTATTTTAATTACTTTGTATGTTGCAGGGTAGCTTGTGAATTTACTACAGGTGTAACTTTACAGATTTTGATTAATGATGTGATATATAATCAATACTTAAATAAGACTTAAGTAACTCAAGGTATAAATGGAGTAAAAGTACACAATTTACCTCATAATTATAGTGGGGTATAAGCACAAAAAATACTTGTGTAAAGTACAAGTACCTCAAAATTATACGTAAATAGTACTTGAGTAAATCTACTTTACAGCATGTTTTAATGTTAGTCTTGTCTCACTTTCTGATCACAACCTGTATTCCTTTCCACTTTGTCAGTTTGAAGATGAATTCCACAATCAGGTGAAATACGAATTTCTGGAAGACTACAAAGTCTCTTCACTTCCAGCACGCTGCCCTTACTCCAACTTCACCAAGGTACATCTCCTCCCTTGGCATATTGTGACACTGAGGAAATAAAACTGGGTGAGCACTGACAGTGATTTTATTTTCCTCTCTTAAGGATGCTTGTCTCCAAAGGATGGTCCAAGGCCTGCAGATTTACACAGTTCTTCTCAGGCAAGTGGAGAAGGAGTACCCCAACAGCTTGATCTGCGCAGAGGTCCGAACTTACAGCGGCCAACTGATCGACCTGATCCAAAGAAAAGTGGGTGTCTTCCTTTTGGCTTACTAGAAATGTCCATAGCTGTCTCAAGGCACAGTGTCTTCATGTGGTTTTTCATATGGCTATGAAGTCTTTCATCATCGTTGCTGTATAGACAATAACAGTTTAGACATATTTAGTAGTAGGACTCCTAGGTTAAAACGTTTTAAAATCATTTTTGCATTATCTTTATTACATTATCCGATCATTGTTACTGATGCATTCATGTTTGCATATTAACAAGTTGGCCATTTGTATTATTAAAACTAGAGGTTGTGTGTGTGTGTGCAAAGTAAATAGCAACTATAGCTGACAAATGCATGTTTAAGTAAAGTAACACATGTAAACACCCAAGTACCTCAAACCCTAAGCTCAGTAGATGAGTAACTGTACCAAGTTATATTTTGACACTGGTTAAAGCTAATTTATTAGAAATGATAAGTCCTTGTTTTATCTTTGTTTTGTAAATGTCTAATGTGTAAATGTTTAATGATAGGAATGGCTTTGACTTCATCCTAGATTTCAGTTATAATACAGCTGTCTCTTCTGCCCCACAGATGAGGAACCCTGGTCAGGTGACAGCTCTGACCAGCAGTCAGGAAGTGCAGCTGCTGAATGACCTCGACAACCTCAACCCCTTCCAGAGAAAGATGACTGCACACAACATCCTGCGCCAGCTCCACTACTTCCTCCTGAAGGGCAAGAGAGCCATTACTAAGAGGGAGAAGATCAGAGGAACTATGGCCAACGACAGTTTGGGCATCTTCCAGATTCTATAACCAAACAACGAGAGATGAGATATTTAAAATCACTAGGGAATATCCTCAGGGTCAGATTAAGGGTGCTATAATTGTGTAGGTCTTTAAGGAGACAGGGCTTGAAGCGCCCAGTATTGCAACATTTATTTAAGTTATTTATACTTTGGGGGAAAGTGTTATTTATTAATCATAGGAAAATCCATGATTGTAGGTTTCTTGCACGAAAATTATTTATGAAAATAAGTTATTTGAAGAAGATTCATTTATAGATTTTGACATTACTTGAGCAGCTTTGATAGCGCTGCTATTCAGGCAATATTTGCATAATTTCGTTGTATAAACAATGATTTTATACTTACAGTACTGTTAATTATTTATTTACAACTATTATTTAACTGCATTTGCTGTGGATTGAATTACAATGCAATGAACTGACTTTTTTGAATTCACACAATAAATAAGTGACTGGTATTTTGTACACATGCAGAAATAAAAAATAAAAAAATTCAAATGTTTCAATAAGTAAACGTTTCTTCAGTCCAAGACTTTACACATTTCATGTCATTGCAACACATTTCTTCCACAAACCATTAATCTCTTTTACATATTTAGATCAATCTACGTTTCATTTGGAGGCTGAAAATATGACTTTTAACTTGAAAAACGAATTTGTTTTAACGATAAAATACTTAGTATTGGTTTTTGCCTTAAGGTTAGGCATCAACATTAATCCTGTTAATAAAAGACCAGATTGACATTTCTTAGTGGATTTATTCTCTGAAATCTTAAATTACAAATAAAGAGGAAAACATGGAATGAAAGGTACATCCTGACATTGCTGTCTCACACAGCAAAACACTGACAGATAGCCCAGTCAACACGGTGAGGACAAACTCTTGATTCCAGCTTGGTAATCCGAATCTCTTCTATCCATGTTGCCAACACACTCCATACATCTACTGTATGTTTGGCCTTGGACATTATGACGGCACACAACGTCATTACTTCTCAGAAGGTTGTACAGCCAGATTTATAGAGAGGGAAAGAAAGAAAATGTCCATTTCCTGGCTTTCTGATGACAGTTGGGTCACATGGTCTTGATGATGGGAGGGGATTGGCTGTTCGGGGGCATTCCTCAACCCCAAAGCAAACTACAGAGGAGAAAAGTAAAGGAGCAAGCAGATTTTAAAAAGGACAACAATTGAAGAAAAAACAACAACTTCCGAGAGCTAGTCGTCCAAAAATATTGATTGTAACATTAGACATGTCTTTTTAATCCATGGATCCTCTTAAACCTTATTAAGGATACCCGGCAGGAATCCCGTTACAGGTGTCAAATGCTGAAAGTGTTTAGGCGAGGAAAGTTTGTTCATAAAAGAGAAGGAAATGTAGAGTAGATGTTTGTTTACAACAAGCTAATGATTGGATTTCATGATTGTTGGTGTTTTTTTTGTATTCATTATAAAAATTCAAAACTTATTTGACTGCTAGCCCAACTACTCTACTTACGCAAACATGTCTGCGCTGTAAGATCTCCCTTTAAGCATCACATTTCTCTGAAAACACATGATTTGAGATGAAGCAACAATCTCACACTAATACGTCCTCACCTTAAGACATTGGGTTCAGGCATTCCTGGATCTGCTCCTCGTTTAAAACCTGTACATCAAAAACATACAGATGATTTTAAGCATGGTTTGAATTTTTGAAAATAAATATGAAGTAAATGTGTGAGTCTTAAATGTCCATTAAGACTTTCTATAAGCATCTAGTTATTAAAAAGAAAAGGCATGTAGTCAATTATAATGACCCACAGCTTGGAATAAAATACATCAAATTGTGCCTATGCACCTTAAAATGACAGCAAGTTTCACTGGGCCATTGCAACACACTCCAGTTTCATTTAACAGCATCCGTGCAGCAAAAAGCATACAACCCCCATCTGACTCACAATCTCTGCCTCACACACACAGAAGGGTGTGTGTGTGTTGTTTTTAGCTTCATTCACAGAAAGGAAATAAATGTGGTGCAACTGTTTCTTGGGGAAAATGTGTTACTTAGAAAACTGAATCAAGCCTCCTCTTGGAAATCTTACATAACTATCACCACAGTGGATTATTATCATTGGAGCGCACTTCAGAAAAACTGAAACCAAGAGAGTTAGGCATTTCTATTTTACAAATCAATCGACTTTTATTGTTGATTAATTATCAATTAAGCCGTTTTCACACTCTCAGATCATGGTTGCCTGGATATGAAACGTTATGACTGATGTTGGTTAGACATCAGCAATAAATGACATGTTCAAACAAAGATAATTCTGCCCTTAATATATAAATGCGTTGCAAGAGAGATGCAAAAAAAAGGTTAAGAAATAAAGGAAAACGAGGGGAGAAAGTATGTCATCAGCTGGTGTTTCCAAAATGCTGAAGTCAGAGAAGATTCTCCAGCAGCAGTGAGGTCACACATGCTAAAGTCTCCACTTCCCCATCTTGACTCCAAAAACCACAACCAGGTATTTCAGTGCACCAGGCATTTAACACCAAATCATCAGGAATGCCTGGTTTAACACTCTTGTAAGTACAAGGACTTTGCACAACTACCTCAAGGTCACACGTTTTTGATAATTGTGTACCCTAAGAACATTGCACAGTCCCCACCATCATAGAGAAGACCATTTAAAAATGAATCACTCCTTCACTCACATACTAAGTCCTACATACAATAACCACCACAGCTTGCATTCATGAGATGCTTGGATTCCCTGCTTTGATTCAGCAGTTTTCCCCATGCCATCATGACTTTCACACACACCATGACACTCATCAATATGCAATACATCACATGCATTGTATAACTCGTCCAGAGGGGGCTACTCAAAGTCTACCAACTACTTCAAAGACATCAAACCTTTAATGTTAGATGAATGATACAGAACCAAATAATGTATTACTACTAGTCAAACCACATTGGGATTCGAACCCTGTGGTCTTATGTTTTATACTTCCTATAAAGGGTGTCAATCATTAGCTTAATTGGTTTAAACTTTAAACGTATAACTACTAACGCAACCTGGGGAGGAAAAACACTAAGCTAACTCTTGTTGAGGGCTAGTGTGCTAAGCTAACCGGCTAATGTTAGCGAGGCACATCTCCTCATCCAGCCGTCTCCCCCCTGCTCCCGTTGGGATACTGACCGAGGTACAACACGGTTGGGATGAAACCCCATCGGATGACGAACTGGCCGCACTGGAACAGCTGCTGCAGCCGCTGTTTGGACTCTTTGCTCAGTTTAGCCATGTGTTTATCCTGAACAGCGAGGATGCTGCAACCACCAAGGACAAGGAAGCGGAAGTGACGAAAGGACCCGGCTAATAACTGACAGTCTTTCTGTCATTGGTCGCCATCTAGTGGACACACGTGTAACTGCGACTGCCATGAGGAGTGCTTTATAATACGTTGTTTATATATTTGTTATATATATATATATATAATATGACTATGCATCGGTTTGTCATGCAGGTGCTCGAGGTTCATCACCCAGGGGAGGGACATCTTCTGTCTCCTGCTATTAAATCTGGAGAAATTGTCCTCACCACTTTTTCTAACAAAGTGACGCCCATGGTGTTGTGATGTATGTTTCCGTGTACATCCCATGTATTGCATGATTTTGTTTTGGGAAATAAACGTTGGATTTATGCCTCTGCTATAGCCCAATATGCGCAGCCAGGACATGTGTATGAATATATATTCTTAAATATAAATTTATTCTCATTCTCTCTCTCATATTCTCATTCTCTCTCTCTCATATTCTCATATTCTCATTCTCTCTCTCTCTCTCTCATATTCTCATATTCTCATTCTCTCTCTCTCATATTCTCATTCTCTCTCTCTCATATTCTCTCTCTCTCTCTCTCTCTCTCATATTCTCTCTCTCTCTCTCTCTCTCATCCAATAAATAAATACACCTTAAATATATATTCCCTAATAAGTGCAACACAATTAATGATTGTGCATTTATAATGTACGTAATTATAGTGGAATGTTGCCACAAATGTATCCCTGATTTTGATAAATCAATAAGCCTCTTACACCATTTTAATTATACAATTCATTTAAGAGTAATAACTGAGCACGCAAGTGAAATATAGAAACACTTTATTCCCAGAAGATGTAGCAGAGTTATATTCAGACATAGAAAGGCCAATTTTAACCAACTTTAGTACAACAGTATGATGTACAACAAGAGCTCACCCATCCACATCCTGTAAACCCACACACAGAAACAATGTGATTGTTAATGTCCCCCCCAAAGCTATGGACACTCGACAGCTCTAGTACACAGACGACAGAACACATATTGCTTGAGGGAGGCGCAGCTCAATTTAGGACATCAAAGGTAACAAATGGGTGGAGTTTAATTACATTATTGGTACAAGATATCACCATTTCTTGTGAAGGGATGATGATGGAGGGACACAGGAAACACATCACCAAATAACTACTGACAGCTGGAATGGTGGGTGGATCAGAGAAGAGGAAAGATGCCTTGTTGCCCACACACACCTTCCCACTGCAGAACACACAGGAGGAGGTTCAGTTACAGTTTTGGTCGAGTTTTAAACTTCTTGAGTCAGGGGCATCGGATTATTTTATCTTTGTGCATGTAGGTGGACTTCATGTATATACGGAGCAACAAAGCACATCCATCTCTCTCACAGGAAAATACCACAGTTGAGAGTCAAACCTCTTTTGTTCATCATAAGAAAATACCAAAGTTGAAAACACAACTTGTTTGTTCTTTCAAGTGCAAATTTCAATACTTCACAAATCACACACCAAATCATCTTCGTCATTTGTTAGAAGTTGGATTTTTCTGCCAACAGCAATTCAAGAAGGTGCTAGAGGAGTGGGAGGGAAGGACACACATATTGCTTCTCCATTATGATGACAATACTGTGCGATTGTAAACATTAAAACCCAAATCGTATCATACTGTTTGATTATTTAGTGGTCATTTCTTCTGACATTTTAAGGAAGAATGCAGATTATCTTTAAAAAGGAACACTGCTGTAGATGTTTACAAAAGAAGTGTGAATGAAGAGAGGTTGTGTAATTGTCCCAAAAGATGAAAAACACAGATTTGTATTGCTATGGAAAAGGATCTGTCATTTGAAAAAAATAGAAAAATGTGTTTCATCTCGGAGAATCATACCTTGTTCATTTTATCAATCAGCCGCCTTTATTCTAAAAATTGAACATACACACATACAGTACACACACTCAAACATACTCACACATACTTAACATTTGCCCTCCGACCAACCTGGGCAATATCAGGATGGACGTATGGAAAAGCCATGCAGGGCAACAAATGCAGATTAAAATATTTTCCAGATACTTTCCCGCAGTTTTTAGTTGTGTATATGTTTTAAGTGCACTCAGACAGACTGCTCTGGGACGGAGTGCGGTTTTGTCCTGGCATGATTTCACAGCAACAATGCACTGCTAAAAATCAGTCAAGCAGGAAGTGACATCTCTGACCCCCCGCCTTCATCAGGAGAGGAGCACGACGGCAGGCTGCTCTGGAGCACAGAGAACCAAATACATCAAAATGGAGTGACAAGACACCCAGTGGGAGTGTTTGAATGCTGTTGTGGTCTAATGTGAGTTGGCATGGCTTGGAGTTCCTGTTCACAAGTACAGGGTCACCGGATTGAGAGGGATCAGGTAGTCAGGAGTCACAAAGGGTTCAAAGGTCAGAGCCAAGGTGCACGCTGATGCTAGGAGAGCGCTGCGTGTGCTTTGGCGCCGGACTCAAGTACCCCAGCCCATCCTCCTGCAGGCTGCATGAATAGCGGCCGACTTCAGAGGCGGTGTGGTTGCTGACGGGGGGGGCCGTTGCCGACGGCCACCTGCTCGAAGGAGCGGGAGAAAACGGCGCTGGCGGTGCGGGTCAGGCTGGTGAGAGCTCCTGCCTTGGGCACCGATTGGCTGGAAGTGAGCGTCAGTCGCTTGAAGGACAGCTCTGCATTCTCGCTGTTGGCCCGGCACGTTGTCAGAGAGCCCGCCTCCTTGTCCTTGCTGTTACGCCCCCCCAGCCGACACTTCTTCATGGCCTTGGCTCCCAGATTCAACGTGGTGACACTGTTGCTAATAGTGATGGTGGGGGGGGTCATGTCCGGCCCCATCCCGCCTGGCCACACCCCTTCATCCACCTCCGAAATATCCATCAGCTCATCCGGGGAACCCAGATCCACTGCGTCTGTGAGACAGAAATTAACTGAAATGAAAACAGGAGCATGAAGAGGAAAAAACAACCATCTCATCTGTCATCCAGCCCAGCTGATCCAATCAAATCATTGAAATTAACACAGTTTATAAAGAAAATGAATGGAATGCTTTGCTTGTGGGGCAAAGTATGTAGGGCTGCATGACAGAGGAGCTCCATCACTGTCCAGCAGGTGGCGCATTCACACTGTGACAGTTAACAGGGACACCTCGCCACCAGGAAATGGAATTTCAGTATTTCAGCCCAGCACACAGGTTAGTTCAACCAGAAGCTGTGAGCGGTTTATTGGCAGAGGAGTGCATGTTTTGTTGCAAAGACAGAAGAGGTCAGAGTCTGAGAGCACACGCCTAGGAAAGACCACAAGGGGAGAGTAGAGGAAGGAAAACAAAGACACAAATCCAAAACCCTAAGTTTTCACTTCAAAAACACTAGCCAATAGCTGTGCTGTATATGCATCAAGAATGGCACTAACAAACATGTGGGTGGCCAACCACATGCATATGCAGAGATACACACCTTTAATCTGACGCTGTCACTGTAAAACGCTAGTCATTAGACAGATAGGCAGGTCCTGTCAAAGTCCTCCATGGATTTGCAGTCAGAAGTCATCACACTCACAGAAGATTTACAATTTCTGAGCAGTTTTGCTTCAAATAACACAAGTCCTGCGTATCTTTCCTAAGTTCCTAGCTACTCAGAAGGAAGTTATCTGTGTCCAAGTGCAACCCAGGAGGATTGTGTGGAGGTGTGCCAATGTGTGCAATATGAGTACAATGTACAATCTGCTGCTGCAGGCAGAGGTAACAGAGCTAATATCTGGGCTTTGTGATTGAAGGTCATCAGTCCATTTGTTATGTATGTCCAGCCTTCAGTCGGTTTATATTTACAGGAAGTGTGTGTGTGTGTGTGTGTGTGTGTGTGTGTGTGTGTGTGTGTGTGTGTATGTATTGACAAATGTTGAATAAACTACTTTAAAGACTGGTGTTCATGCTGTGTTTAACCAACGTTCTGCTTAAAATAGGATCCAACTCATTTAGCTCAACATAAAAACATCCCCCATTGTGAAATTCAGCCAAGCACATTTCAGTAGTATGCATTCATATTAGGTTAAAGATCTGTCATTCAATTAGGCCATTAATTAGATTTAAGAAAATCTCAGCTGGAGATCTTGGTGAGGAAGCTTTAGCCACAAAGGAGAGAGTGAATGAATGAGTGACTTTTGAAGGACAGATGAGAGGAATAGTGCTAATAGGAGAAGGGAGGATGGTAGAACCCAGCGCAAAAAAGGTAAAAAGGGAAGTCATTGTGCAGATTTTTCAGACCACTCCGCCACACACGGTTACCTAGGTTACCCCGGGAGCGGGGCGTGGGGAAGGAGGGGCAGGACCTTAGTACTGGCTCCTCCCTGTGGAGGCCGTCCCAGAACCCTCATTCTCCACCATCCGCCTCACAGACTTCTGCCTCCTGACCTCCTGACCCCGCAGATCCAGGCTGACCTCGGAGGCTCCGCCCACCGGGTCGCAGTCGGGCGGGGCGCGGCCGTCAAGGCGTGGTCGCATGGATTCTCCGTTGGGCAATCGCTCGCCGCTCGTACCTGTTACACTGATATCGGGGATGGCTACGCCCCCCACTGCAGCATCACTTTCTACACTCGCCTCCTGGGACTCTGGTGGGAGGAGTATGGGGGGGTAGCACGACAACACGTAACAAAACGAACATATATAAACACAAACAGATGGGACAGAAAGACACGCGTCATGCACACGTACATGAAACACAGAAAGACAGCGGTCATGACCACAGTCACACAACACAAACAGAGGTAATAAATGTAATGGCAGAAAAATAAAAAGACAGAAATCATAGTGATCAGAACATAACACATGGTAAAAGTACATGCAATATGGAGATGAATATGAACACAGCTCTTGAATGGAATTGCATTTCATAGTGAGTCCCCGCTCCGCCCTTACACATTAATTAATATTTAATAGTGTTTTCCCTCCATCGTCTGCTCATAACAAAAGATTTACGCATAAACAGGCAGCTCTGATACGGGCAGCAAAGGAA